TCTGTCTATTCTATCCTCGAAATGATCTCGGCCAACTGGAGGTCTACCCCTTCTCATGATGCTAGAGGTATGCAAAATGTGACTCTTAAACAAAATGAGCAAGTAAACATGCGTGCAAGTAATAAATGATCATGCCGAGATGATGCACACCTTGTCAAGTAGCAAGCAACATGATGCAATCCTAACATCATTCTAAGGGACATCCTATGCTCTTTAGGACTCAAAGTGTGTGAATAACGTATTACAAGGAACGCGTGCTCTGATACCATTCTGTCACGACCCCAAATCGCCCCTAGTAGGATGGTGCCGTGATGGCCAGTAATCCGAGATTACCGAAGGCCACTTACAAAATTCACACACAATTAGAGTATAAATATATGGGGCTCACAAGTGCGGAAGCGATATGTATACAAATCTAATTAGTCCATAAGAGCTGTGCATAAGTCAAATGGAATGGCATACAACTTTACATAGCTTTACAACTTGAATACAAATAAAATGAAGTACAAAAATACATATTAAATCTTGGTCGAAGGCCTGTCAAGCCGACATGCACAAAACACATGAACTACAGGTCAAAAAACATAATCTTCCAGATTGCCGACATCCTCACTGCCGACATAACATACATACAAAACACACATCTCGGCGTAGCCGACTTCTTGCTTGCTACCAACGTATATACATAGGGAGGGTGAGCTTGGATACTCAGTGAATGGTACAAGTAATAAAGGTTTTAAATGAATGATAATCGAGGTCTTTGCAAAACATACATATCATAGCTTGTACAAAACGTGGGATGAATCTAGTTCATCAACTTGATCTTACAAAACTTACTTACTTACTTACTTTGGATGTTAATAGCATCTACATAATACAAGGGATGACATTCCGGACTTACAAGACCCACGCGGTAAACCGTCAGTGGCAAAACAAGGGAATAATCGACCCGGGATCGATTAGACAAACCACCCGCACAAGGCCGTCGGTGGGGCCATCCGTTCATAGACCGTCGATGGCAGAGATCTCTCATACTTAGTACTGCGAAAGTTTAGAGTCCTCCAGCACAAGGGACTTTAGTACTACGAAAGTTTAGAGTCTTCCAGCACAAAGGACTTTTCGAGAATGTCATCAAAACAAAGCTTACTTGATACATAAAAATAGGGGTAATCATTCATGCTTGATCAAATGCTTTTATCAAAACGAAACAAGGCTTTATCAAATCTTTATAACATAACTTTATTAAAAATACCACTCACATAGCTCTTCGGACGTCGGGATCAAGGCAAAGGTTCAAGTCCTACAAACACATGGCAAAGTCTACTGAACGTACTTCTCAAAACAAGTCTTACATGCATGCAAATGATCTCGGGAAAACATGCTGAAAGTCAAAACACTGTTTTACATGTCAAGAAGACATGCTGGGTACCAACCAGGTCTTTGCCGAGGTCCCATACCTCTTGGTCGAGGTGTGGCTACCTAGGCTTCGGTGTGCGGCTGCATGCCGAGGTGCGCACAAGACAAACTAAAGGTGTAAGTGATCATGCAAGGTAGGCCAAGGTGAGATACGATGCTTGGCCTAAGTGTGAGGTTTAGGTAAGAGTGAGCTCGGCGACTACACTTAGGGAAGTGAGGTCTGGAGATCTGGGTTTCCACCCGTGAAGAACAGGAAGAACATGAACATGAAGATCATGAAGAACATGAATGCTAAAATCATAACTTCTTTATTACAAAATCTGGGATTTCATGCTATGAGTTTGAAAACATGGACCTGGGTACCCATACTTGAAGATCATATGGAAACAAACACAAAAACATGGATCTAGGCATGAGCTTTCGGATCAAAACATGACTTTTCTTGAAGAACACATGAATACTATTTTCTCTTTCTAAAACCGAACTTCAAAACAATGCATGGCTTACAAATCATATTCAATCATGCAATGCAGTAACATGAACCTAAAGAACAACATGAGCAGATCAAGAATCTAACCTTAGAACACGGATCTAACGGTTCGATCTCTAGGGATCAAGCTTGGAAATCTACTCTCCCTCAAGAACTCCTCTCCTTCTTCTAGAGCTTCTCTCTCTTCTTCAAAACAAGGATATAACAAATGATAGGTTTCTCTCTCTGCCGGCTGACTTAACACTCAGCTCGGACACGTGGCAACGGCTGGTTGGTTCTCCTAAAAAAGGTGATAGATTGACAAGACATGTGTAAGGCAAAGCGTATCTAACAAGCTACCCGACAAGGCACTCCGACAAGTGATGACATCGGCTAAGGACAAAGCTTCGGTAACTAAGGTGACAATGACCTCGGCTAGGAAGGACAACACTTGACTAAGCTGTGCCACACCTTGGCCTAGATGCGCCACACGTCGGTTTAGGTCATACCACTCCAGGACAAGATCACTTAGGTGCAAAGGTAATCTCGGCCTAGATAATACACATCTCGGCCTTGGTGATGAACACCTCGACCTAGATAATGACATCTCGGCCAATATGTCAGGGCGAAGATAAAGGTCAAACAAAGTGGTTCCAAGACAATTCTAGACTGAAGATGACCTCGGCTTGGAATGATCTAGGCTTAACATAACTTAGGCTTGAGAGACCAAAGAAGGAACATATGCATACAACACCTGGACAAATCACATGAGCATAAAACAAGGCAAGATTCATGAATGCAAACTTAACAAGACCACATGATGTGAATGCACATGAACATGACTAAGCCATAAATGTGGGTTGTTACATAACACGTGTATAGGTGCAACCAATTTGTGTGGATGCAACTCCAACTTGCGCATGGTGTAACTCCAATCTACACGGGGTGCAAGTCCAATTTATGTGGAGTGTAACTACAATCTATACATGGGTGCAACTCCAACCTTTGCACAGGTGCAATTCCATTCTGTGCGGGGTGCAACTCGAACTTGTGTATATGTGTAGGGGTGCAACTCCAATTTGTGGGAGGTGCAACTTCAATTTGGGATGTGAGGTCTTTTTGATAATTTTAGATAGGAACTGAAATATAATAAAAATAAGAAAAAATAAAAGGGTGTAAAGAGTTAGAAGTATGGTGTAAGTAGACTTCCTCTTCTTCTTTTTTTTTTTTCTTTTTCCTGTTAAAATTTGAAAAAGTCACCCACTATTCTGTGATTCTTTTCTCCCAACACCACCGGCAGGTAACTCCCCCTTGTTTTTTAATCTTGATAAAGCAAAAATTCAAAATACAGGTTCATTTCTGAAAATTCGGGTTTGGGGACTTATTCTTCCATTTCCAGATTGAACCAGCCAAGGGTTGTCTTTTTATGGAAAGTGGAAACAATTTCGTCCTCAAAATGTCACTAAAATGAGAATTGGCAAAAGCAGCAAAATCCAATCAATTAAAATTGAGCATCAGTACTTTACCCTGAAAACAATAACACTAAAATATGTTGAGCATTAAATTGCTGATGCACCTAGCACAATATTAAATCATTAATAAATCTGTATTGCTACTGTTTCGTCCATAATATATAGGGTAAATTACATTGACAGTTCCTGAATTTTTTTAGAATCACACTGTCATCCCTCTTGCTCCCTGAAATATCACTTACCTCTCCTGCCGGTCAACTCTATTAACTAAATGTTAAAATTACTATACTATCCTTGTTAACAAAAGAAAAAAAAAAATTATTATTTTCTTTTTCTTTTTTTCTTCTCTCATATGCTTTTTGTCTCATCTGTTTCTATCTCTTCCCATCTATCAAAAACACCACACCACCAAACCCACTTTCCCCAAATAGAAACCATTAATCCACCACCACTCTACCCATCTCCTCTACCACCACCACGTCAGCCTCCACCAACCACCATACCTACCTATTTCCACCCTCAGAAAACCCAGCCCACAATTGCCCATCATCAACGACATTACAATCATGATTGCTCCTTCCACCACCATGAGAGAGGTATCAAAGGGAGACGCCACTATAACCAATATCTTCCCCTTCTACCTGAGAATGCCGCTACCATCAATACCCAACCATCCATCCCCATGTTACACCATCCCCTCTGCCATTCCTACATAAGAAAAGAGGAGAGAAAAGTGAGTCATGGGAGAAGAGATGAGCCAACAGTACCGCCGGAACACAACGATCTTCTAATCACTGATTGAAATCCACAACCCCATCCTCCATCCACAGACCCCTCATCAACCCATCAATCCCAGCTCCTAATCAGCCTTCAATAGTAGCCCACCACCACAGCAGCCTCGTGCGAATGTAGATTTTGCTTGAAAGTAATGGATTTGTATTTGCATGTCAAGTGTTTGATGAAAGTCTTCAATGAAGGTTGGATTAAGGCGCAGTATGCCAATGCATATTTTTTGTTTTTGTGACCCATAATAGGTGTAGTTATAGAAGTTTTATTCAAAATTTGGTTCACAAAATACACCAGCAAATTTCCACTGTTGCATTTATTCTTATGTTAATTTTGACTTCATTCTTAAATCAGGGTAATTGTAGCAAAATGGCTTAAATTCAGTGGAGGTAGAATTAGCTGGTAATGGTTTTGGTTTTGAGAGTGACTAGAATTGGGTGGGTCGGAGATGATGAGGGCTGCTGTTATGTTAGATATGGGGAGAAATTGATTTTTGTATTATTTATATGAAGAAATTGATTTTAATGAGGGTAAAATAGATATTTTAGAATAAAATTTTGCTGACATTGACTATTTCCATTAGGTTAGTAAACAATTGATTGATGGAAGGACTCTAGTGTTATAATAGTTTTTAATGCAAGGGAGGTCACTGGTATTTCGAAATCAACCATGCTTGATTGTCCGAATTTTTATGGTCCGAATGGTACGAATGTCTCAAAATGATGTCATTTTGATACATTCGAACCATTCGGCCCACACAAATTCGAGTTACCAAACGTTTTTCATTCAAAAAATAGAGGGGGTGACTGTGATTTCAAGGGGTTGTCGGTGTAATTTACCTCAATATATATAATATATACACTTGAAAATTGATTCTTCTAAGTTTATTTTCTCTTTAAAGAGGGAGAGGGGGAGGGGGAGGGGGAGTGAGATTGCTGTAGCACTGTAAAAACCATCTTCTCTTCTTTCTAAGGAATTTAGTGCACATGATTACACATCATCTCTCTCTCTCTCTCTCAAACAAACCACCAAAAGAGAATATGTTAGGCTGTCAAAGAATATACTATAACCCACAAGGAAATTCAGGCAGAGACCTGCCACGAGCAGAAGAGACAAAACATGAAATACATAGTACTTCCAGCTCATGGGATTTCCTATGCAAATGGTAGAGCAGTCCTTCAGAATTTTACCCCTGCACATCATAATCCAAGACAAGAAAAAAAATAAAAAAATCAATGAAAACCAATCACCAGAGTACCACCCCACCGGATATAACAAATTAGAGTAAAAAAAAAAATACACACCAGTTGGGACATTAGAATTTCCACCGCTACATTTAAATCCCCATCTGCAGCTGCCACTGCAACTTCTACCTGTGTCTGAAATAAAACAAGTGCAACTGCTGTCAGAATTCCCCACCACCAATTCACTTTGATTCATATAACACACATTATCTAAGCATCAGGATTGATCACACAATTTCCTATGATGTTACTTGTAAAACAATGCAGTGGTAAACATATTGTTCAAACAATTTTCTTAAATTCATATTATTAGGCTATCCAGATTTAACATGAAAAAATAAATAAAAAATAAAAAAATAAACTAAATTCATCAGTTCAAAAAAAAAAAGAAGCTAAATTCATATTATTAGGCAGTAAAAGTAACGTTACCCTTTCAAAACCCATTGCTACAAGATTTTGGATCTCTTCTTCCGAGACGACTGAACCCTACATTCCATAGACCAATAAACCAATAAAAAAAAAAATTAAAATCCAAATTAACTGAAAGAATAAAAACAAGATGAGGGTTCAACTCATGTCAGAAAGAGAGAAACCTGATGGTGTGCAAGAACTCCAGCAGCTGCGGCTGTGGCACCATCGAATGCAGACTGCCTAAAAAGTCAAAAAAAGAATAAACCAGATAAACAAACCTTCCACTGCATAGAAGCGAAGACACCTACCATTCCTTACAAAGCATCAATCTACAGCTACCAACCACACATACACTGAAGCATGTCAAAGAAAAACATAATGTGAGGATGCACTGAAGCATGATGACTAGTGTAACTAATGAACTTAGGATTAACTTTGACAAAGCCTACCTGGATGAATACAATTTCTATGCATATACTCAAATGACAAAAAAGAGAATTCAGTGAAAAAAATTCAGAGGTACTTAGGGGATGATGCCAAATTGCCGTCAAGAAATCTGTTCAACAAACTAATTGGTCCCAAAACCATAAATTATGGAGGATTGATCCAAAGAAAAGACAAAAAAATTTAAAAAGAAGCAACACGAATAACACAAGGGCCAAAACTGATGGAACCAAATCAAGAAAGAGATCTCATTAGAGAGAAAATCCCAAAATGGGTACAAGAGCTCTCAACCTCTAAAATATTCAATATCAAAATATCATAAACTGAATACTAGTGAGGACTAACCACCTATTTATAGGACAGACCCAACTAACTCTAAGTAACTCTTATGGTTCTAAACATAACCACCATACTAGTTCTAAGTCAGACTTCCCCTCCAAAGAAAATAACTTATCCTCAGGTTGGGACTACAACAAAATGACTCAAGACAACAAAATCAACAAAATGACTCAAAACAATGACTCATGGGAGTATGATGAACATGCAATGCAAACAAGACTAAGTAGGCGCAAGTCCTTATTCAAGATCATCCTAGCAAAACATCCTCCAATTAAAACAAGTTCTCATTTGTTAAGTGTTAGGGTAGTTATGTGATTTGTGTCTACCTATTATATTATAAATAGTAGTGTGTGTAAGCGGAGAACCCTATGTTTTAATTCAAGAATATATATATATTTTTTAGGTAAATGTTAATTCAAGAATATTTTAGTAGTTGTTTTTCTCTCTCATTCTTCGTCTTCTTCATCCTCTACACATTCAACATGATATCAGAGCCACATCTTCCTCCTTGAAGATATTTTTGCTCTTTTCTTCTTTTTTTCGTCAATTTTTTGTATTTTTCTTTTATCACAGTCTAAAAAATAAAAAATAAAAATGAACAAATAAATAAATCCCATCATGATCGATTAAGGGTTCTCAATATGACTCTGATTTTTGTTTTATTTTTTGGTCATTTGTTGATTGTTTTTCCATTGTTTCTTTATTTTTTGGGAAAATGGGTGATTTCCTAGAAACTTTGTTTCGTGCCTCATCAGGCTGATTTCTTCTCTCCTAACCTAATCTTTGTGGGCCGACTGACACCTTGGAGGCCTCGAGTGTCCTTGTTTTGAAGGTTTGTTGAGCTTTGTCTTGATTTATGTCAGTTTCAGCTCATCTGGGTGTGATTTGGCTGTGTTTCGGTACTGCTTTATGTGCCTAGAGGTCATCTGGGTGTGTTTTGGTATTGTTTTTGGTTCTAAGGTTGGTTTTTAAATTTGTCTCCCTTGGTTTTGCTGTTGTGGTACTGCTAGGTTGTTGTTTGGTGTTTGTTTTTTTATTTTAAATGACTGAGGCTGAGGCTAAGGATCCAAAGGTCAATGGAGAGAGTGGATTGCATCATGTTATGACCCTTACTGATAGTCCCTTTCTTCCAATGTTTTTAAAGGCTCAAGGCGTACTAAGGCGCTGAAGGTCTCTTGGGGCCTAGGCGCAAGGCGCAAGGCGAGGCGCGGGCTTTATTGACGTAAGGCACACAGTTTTAGTAAAAAATAGAAAAATTAACATAGACTAATCATTCATAGTACTAAGACAATTTTTTTAAAAATAAAAAATAAAAAATAATTAAGATTCAAGACAAAATATAGGATAATTTTCAAAGCCATGAAAGTGCATATTACATAACATTTCAATTTTCAAAGATATAATAATCCACATTCAATAAAATAAAAATAAAAATAAGAAAAGACAGAATTTAAAAAATAAAATAATCCACATTTAATACAGAATTTATTAAATACAGATAAATACAGAATTTAATAAATACAGAATTTATTTTTTTCCCCTAACAGATAAATACAGATAAATATAGAATTTAATAAATACAGAATTTATTTTTTTCCCCTAACAGATAAAGGGGAAAAAAAGACCAGTAGCATTGTATTTATTTATTAATTATTTTGTATTTGTATTTATATTTATTTATTTTGTATTTGTATTTGTATTTATTTTTTTATTTTTTTTCCTAACATAATTGAAAAATAATAAAAATAAAATAAAATAAAACAGAGTCGAATGGAAGCCATAAGAAGAAGAAGAAGGGAAGAGAGAAAGAGAGTGAGATCTAAAGAAGACCAGAAGAGGTCGAAGCAAAAAAAAAAAAAACCAACGAAGTCAAATCGAGGAGACCAGAAGAGGTCGAAGAGGAATCGAGGTCCACAGTCAAAGTCGAATCGAGGAATCGAGGTCCACAGTCGAAGTCGCTGCAAAGTCGAAGTCGAATCGAGGAATCGAGAAATCGAAGTCGAATCGAGGAATCGAGGTCCACAGTCGAAGTCGTTAGATCAGATCAAGCTGCTAATACATCAAGCACACCTAGTCGTGCGCCTTGCGCCTCTGTCGCTTGGCTCAAGTCGCGGCTAAGGCGCTCGCCTGGCTCAAGTCGCCTCGCCTGGCGCCTAGGCGCGCTTTTCACAACACTGGTAAGCGTCGCCCATGGATCGTCTTGTGGGTGTCAAGTTATTTAATTGGGTCTTATTTATATTTCTTATTTAATTTTAAATTGGTTTTAGAAGTCAAAAATATTTTAATAATTTCTTGTTTTTTTGTTATAGTTGATTTAGGAAGTCTCAAGTCTACATAAAGTCATGTAATACTTCTAATTGAAGAGAGGGAGTTGATATTTTATACAATTTTGAGAGCTTTGAAGCCTCTTTGGATTTGTGTGATGCAACCCTAACCCTAACCCTAACCCTAGATATGATGCCTAAGGGATTCTAAGAGTGATTCCTACATCTTTCTTTTTCTTCTCTTTCTTTCCCTCTTTTATTTCAGCACTTTTAACAGCCCAAAATACTGTTCACGGATACTGTTCACAGTAAGTACCCAAAGAGTCCTCAAATTCAATCTTCGAGCACATTACATTAAGCCCCTAACCCTAATTCTTCCATATATTAGTAAATACCCTAATTTTTCATTACTTTTCAGCTTGAATCACAATAAAAACCCACAAAATCCAACTGTCCCGTTCTCACAGCGCTGTCCCTAACCGTCCTGCTTACGTGTCATGTTAGGCACTGACATGACACAACAAGGCACTTCTCAACATTTAATGTAAATTTATATCTATTATCTTTTTTTTGGACTTAAAAAATTATTATATTTGGTTTAAATATTCATATCTACGACGTATAATAATTATTAACCCTTACATATGATATATAATAATAAATATATAAAATTAAATATTTTGCACATGTCCTCCATGTAATTTTTTGAAAATTTGTGTGAACATGTCAATGCCGTGTCACGTGTCTCTATCCGTGCTTCTTAGTTTACTAGTAAAGAACCTATAGGCAATCATATGATGAAAAATTATGTACGTTAGGAAGCGTGTCATTCAAGTTTATCATACAAACACAGTTTTCCAAATACATACAAGCATATCACACACACACACACAGACCTAAGCCAGAAACATCATTTCATTGAACACAACTACTGCAGCATCAATTGCTCCCAATCCGACAGACTGCTCAGTTCCACTACAACCGAAAACTCAGATCCAACTATAATCTGGTCAAGATATACAAACCCCAACACAACCAATACGGCATTATAAGCAACATGAACCAGCCAATTCAAACAGACTTCAGACCACTAATTGCAAATGGTGCAGGTACTATATAAAATCCTAGTGAAATGAGTTTTATCTCTGTAGTAGAAGGAAAATATTGTTTCAACTGAGGTACGGTACGGCTTGGATATATACTAGGTACGTCTGAGTACGTCAAAAATTAAGAAGAAAAAACTTGGGTACGTGTTTCATGTACCCGGTACTTATGCAGAAGTACCATACGAGGTACGGTACGTCGGTAAGTACCCGGTACGGGTACGGCATGTTTTTTGAAGTACCCATGCTTCATAGGTGAGATCAGAAGAAGACCAGAAGAGGTCGAAGCAAAAAAAAAAAAAAAACGAAGTCAGATCGAGGTCCACAGTCGAAGTCGCTGCGAAGTCGAAGTCGAAGTCGAATCGAGGTCCACAGTCGAAGTCGTTAGATCAGATCAAGCTGCTAATACATCAAGCGCGCCTAGTCGTGTGCCTTGCGCCTTTGTCACCTGGCTCAAGTTGCCTCGCCTGGGACCTGTACAGGTGCAAAGGGTGTGCCTCGCCTCGCTTGGCGTGTAGGCGCGCTTTTCACAACACTGCTCTCTTCAAATCAGTCCTGTGAAACTTGATGGTACTAATTACCTGATTTGGCCACGCTCATGTAGTCTTGCTATTGCTACCCAACGTTTGACTAGCTACATTATCGGTACCCTCCAACAACCTAATGTTGATGGTGATTCGTGTACTCAATGGATTTCTAAAAATGTTTTGGTTATGACTTGGCTGATTAACTCCATGCAGCCCACTATTAGTCAGACTTTTCTCCTTTTGGATACGACTCATAAGATTTGGACCGCTGCCAAACAAATGTACTTACAGTAGGGTAATGATGCCCAGGCATGAGTTGAGGAAGAAGATTCAGGGCTTGGATAAGGAGGACAGATCACTTGTTGTGTACTATGCCGAGCTTAGTAGTCTATGGTAGGAACTTGATTATTATCATAGTTTCCAAGCTGTTTGTTCTCAGAATGCTACTTTGTTTCACCAATCTGTGGAGAAAAAGTTTGTGTATGACTTTCTTTCTAGCCTTAATTTGGAGTATGATCCGATTCGGGTTCAGGTGTTAGGTCGTTCTCCGTTTCCTACCTTAC